CTAACAATAGGTGAGAAACAAAGGAGAGCCTAAGCGCTGTTTTTGGAAGTGGCTGCTGCATCTTGGAAGCAGGGGCCAAGCACAGATGTTAATATTACATAAAGATACATCAACAGCTACACACTGGAAGACTGAACCAGTGAACTACATTGCTTGAAGGAAATAGTACTGCAGTGAAAGATGACAGGATCTAAATTACTCGCAACTAGCGAAGTAACGAAGTGAAGGATGAGCGAGAGAACAGATTTCCATACTGACTGCTTTGTCACAGCATTAGTGAGAATCCACACCTACACAGAAGGTGTATCAAACTTACCTTGCTTATGGATTAGTTTGCCCTTTTCCAGGAGGTCTTACCTCATCCTCTGCTCAGATGCAGCCTACCTCCCTGAACTGGTATTTGCAGTACTGCTGCCTGCAATGTTATTTGCTTAGACTATGGTACAAATCTTAGAGCTACAGGGATTTGGCTTTGTTAGCACTCTGCTCCAGCTGCCTTTAATCATCTCAGCAGATCCTTTCCTCACTGCCTATAGGTTATTCCATGTGGGAATGCAGCACTATGGCTCAGTTCTTGAACTGAGAACCATTCTTCTCAGGCCCTCCCTTGTTCTTCTTCAAGAAGGAATCTTAATTCTAGTATCTGTCTGCTGTTCAGAATACCACAAAATACCTCCTTGTTATTCTTCTCATTCCAAATGCATTTGCAAAATGGCTTCCCAACTACAGTCTATTTTCATTCCTCTTGAGCACTTGCTACTAGAGGTTGCTTATCAAGGAAGAGAGCACCCAGGTACCACTCAGGCTTTTTGGTGCCATACTCATGCTTTATTTAAAAAAAGAAAAGAAAAGAAACAAACAACACAGCTACAAGATGCTAAGAAAACTTCAAGTTTACAAAATACCTGCAGCCACTTTAAGAGATCTGATCTCACTTATAAATGAAAACATCACCTGCTGGTTAACTTAATGCAGTTGCGATACATCATCTGAACTTAATCGTCCAAAACCATCAGTCATTCTTAAACTGTTGATTGTGTGTACAAGAACAATCATCTGTATCACTTTGATTAAAAAAGTCCCTGGGAAAATTTAAAGTTACATGGAGAAAGTGTGAGAGGAGAACTTAGTAAAGCCCACCTGTTGGCTCCTGCAGAAACTGGCTGAGCATGCATTCATTGTGGCTTCGCTCTCCCCTGTAAGTCGACTGCAATTCCTCTGCATATTTAAGAGAAGTTTTACTGAAGCTGCTCGGCTCTTTCCAGTGAGGGAGAGAAACTGACAGAACACGAACCTGTATAGTTGCCATCACACTACATCAGTGCCATGCCTTACTAGCTTTATGGAAGCATGTCGTGCAAGTCTCAAGTAGCTTGAAAACACTCCTGAAACAGCCCTTGGCCACTCCTATGAGGTAGGTACTGTCTTCCCTTTGGAGGAGAAAGAACAGACTTAACTGCTGCCTAGCACACCAGGCACACTGAAAAAACACAACTAGCCTACATTAAATGACTTTCTCACCACTTCCCTGAATTCAGAGCTTTCAAATGCAACGTTTTGTTTAGCACCATGCATACCAGAAATAAAAGCAGTGAATGATGCTTTAGATTGCATCCATTCCAAGACACCCAGCCTGCCTGAACTCAGGTGTTCAGCCCTGTTTCCAAATAAGCTGAAGTAGGGCCATCATTACCAAGTTTCACTCAACTCCACAGCCTACAATTGAACTAATTTGTACACAGATGATCAGACAAAGCTTAATCCTTTCATCTGACAGCTGCCACTCATCTTATATTAAATGATACTGGAAAAAAGCTTTTCACAAAGACAGTATAGTATAGAAGAATAGAAGACAAGTATCAAAGTACAATTCAGATGTACCCAATTAATACTTAGCTATTAACACAGACAAAACAATGCACTGCTTTTTTTTTTCCTGACCCCACAGGCAGCCTTGTGAAACCCTCACAATTTCCCTAATTAGTTTAGGAAACATGAGAAATGAATAGCAGTCTTTCTGCTATAAAATAGGGCCATAATTTCTTCTGTAGTCTAAAAGCATCTCTTTCCAGTAAGATCTTTCACAGCCCTGACTCCCCATAACCTCACACAAAAGTTGTGTGACAGTGCAATGAACTGGCAAGGAAGCTGATGAGAGCATGCTGGATGACACAAGTGCTTGTGCCACCAGAAGTGAAGAGGCAGCACAGACACAAGCAGAACTGCTGCTAACATGTTGGAGTGAATGAAACGATACCCTGCTCAGCTATTTATTGATATTAACTAATATTATGTAATGACATTAAATACCACCTACGGCTAAGCTATTTAGTTTCAAAACTGAGTAGAAAATTCAAGTATCAAAATGAAAATTCCTACACTCCCAGCCACAATGCCATAACCACTTTCTCTCATTTGTAAAAAGCTGAGTGTAATGGACACTTACGAGAAAGAACGTAAGAGATGCCAAAGTTCAACTGCTACCACTCTAGAACACAACTTGGTTACAGCAGCTAAACACAATTTTAAACTGCTGCCCCATTTATCACAATAGCAGATCACTAGCTACTGGTCATAGGAACTGACAGCTCCCAGCCAGAAAAGTTACTATGAACCATCCCAGGTCAGTGCTAAGTCCTATGATCAGTCTCATTACAGTTGTCCAACTGTTAGCTCCTATGCAAGTTGCTAAACTGTTTTCTCTTTCATGCTCAGAACTTAAGCATTTAGATGTTCACTACTAAGTGCAGAGAGGAAAGCTGAAACCTTAAAAATTCTTCTTTCCAATCTAAGCACAGTGCTGCAGTCCTACTGCAACTTGTCTGAAGTTCTGTTCAGTGTAAGATATTGAAGGACTGATTTTCTCCAGGAGTCCCGCAGAGTTTAGCCCTTCCTGATGAAACAGAACTTGGATATCCTAAGTTGCTGTTCTGTCTTCTCATCCTTTGCTTTTCCTCTTGGAGCCCCACTTATCTAGAGCAGCTCAGATTTATTACTGGGGTGCTTTCAAATCTTGAAATTCTGTGAGAAGTTGAATGCAGTTTAAGATTACCTATTCCCAGAAGATGGGAGATGAACCAAAAAACCCATCTTGAGATGCATAACCCACAAAAAGGAACAAGAAGTAAAACTGAGTATGTCAGCCCCTACAACAGCTATAGATTGTACCATACAAACCATTTATTGCACAAACATCTTGCTGAACTAATGCAAGACTGAATCTAGGCTTGTAAACCTACCACAGAGGCAACACTAAAAGCAAAGTTGTTGCATATAATTTGAGTAGTCAGCTGTTACAAAGTTACTCGCTTTGCCAAATGATCATCCAGCAAGCTTCTCTACTAGAACTATTCTACTCAGACTGGCATGTCATGAAATTGATGAAGGCAGGACTAGGGGTTGTTCTTCCCATTCTATTTCCCATACAGAGATGAGTCAAGAACATCTCTGCAATTCATCTGGCACTGTATATAAGACAGCGCGAGTACATCAGTGCAGGTAGTTTCAGAGATGCCTCCAATATATCACATGATTTATAAGTATTGCTCCACTCTCGTTGCCTTAGAAGCTCAGCCCCTGCAGAACAAGAACTGATCCAAAAGCCCTTCTGCACAGGTGATTTTTTTCTCCTTCCTGACCCGCATCTCAAATCAGTGCCTATTCCTGAACAAGCTCCCAGATTACCTTCAGACACAATGAACTGCAACTGAGATGGAAACAATTTGAGCTTTCTCGAGTACCAAGCTGACTTTGCTTTATCTGCTTTCCTCCCCCTTCAACCCCTCAAAGTTACAAGCCCTGAATGCAATGGATGCAGATCAGCATCTCTGTTCCTGCTAACTGTGTAAGCTGCGCCTCTACCACAAGAAATCCCATTTTGGTTACATACAACTTTTCTGTTGAAGTACTGAAGTAACACGTATTTAATGGAAACACTTCTGTTTCTAATGAGAAAGCCAAGGAGATAAAAACTTAACTCAGAGTTGTCAGTAGATTGGTCTAAATTACAGGTTTAAAAACCATAAAGGTTGAATTTAACCATTTGTCATTTAAAAAGAGTACTTGAAGCCAAGTGCTTTTCTTATTCAGTTTCAAGTGCATGGAATAGGTCCAAGTCTTCGCCCCACGTAAAGCTTGAAGAAAATTCCACATGTTTTGATATAGACAGCATTCGAGTCTTTGTGAGAGTACCAAGAACGTACTGGAAAGTTGTTTTGGCTTATTCAAAGTTACCTGGGTAACACCGCAGAGGTACCACTATATTGAGAACACCTAAACTGTTGGAATGACTCAATAACCATTTAACAAGTTGGGTATAAAAAAATTTATGTAGTAATACCAATTCAGCACACAAATTCCATGCTTCACAAGTTCTGCTGCCGTGTAAGAGTTGTCCTAACATCCATGCAGATAAATTCAGATGTTTAGGTCCCTGCATGCCCAGGTCAAAACAGCAGCGAAGTATCTACCACTACAAGCAGCTATACCCAATTGTGCCTTTAGAATGCTAACTGCACAGAAATCCAGATGATGAGTGCCTGAACAGGGCTGGACACACAAACTTGAGTCTGTGCGTGCGATAGAGAACAAAGTCACCGAGAAGAAAAACGTATACAGGTTCTGATAGGCAGGATACAATCAAGACAAATTAAGTCACTAGACATTCAGATTATGGGGAGGGGAAAATACCCTTCCAAGTATACAGAGGACAAGCCAGCATTTAAAAGAACTCTAAAGGCACATTTCAGGTAACACGGTTCTGTTAAGACCAACTGCTTACACACGCAGGCACAAACCTTAATGGCTCCCCCCAACAATTATTTCACAAAAAAGAGAAGTGCATTTTCAGTAATATTAACACCATTCAGTTGAACTGTTCAGTCCAAATGTTTAGCAGTATTTTCCTTGCGCTGACACGGACTCTGCACTACTCCAATACAAAAAAAAACCCAACAGGCAGGATTAGTAAAGGTTCATTTGTTGCACTAGTTAACATTTACTCATCAGAGCCCACTGATCTCTTCTGTGCCCTCTTGCGGGGCAACCTCCTTGGTGAAGCTTTATCTGAAAGAAAAAAGGCAGTGCATCAGTTGTCTCAGCTACTTCGGGTTAGTTGTTACCTGACACTGCCCTTCTAGCACCATGCATCACAACAGAAGCCAGGCTCAAGCATCTCAATGCTTTAAAAAAGAAAACAACAGAACACTACAAGCTGTTTGCATCCTAGATAGTAGCAGAAATAACATTCCTATTCTCTAACATGCAGTTCTAGACTGAGTTACTAAACCATCAGTTACTAGTAAGAAATGCCACCAACACTCTTGATGAATCTGCATGCTCTGCTGTTGTAGAAAAACTCACACCCAGTAATTACACTTTCAGAGAGTTAATGAATGATTAATCACTGGTTTTAGTTTACCTGCCTGAAGAATGTGACAGACCCTCCCCCTTTAGACAGCTTTGCCTTATGTGAAATATTTCTATATTCATACAGATTTAAAAGTGTTTCAGCTGTAAAAAAAAACAAACCACACACCTGTGCAAAAACCATCCACATTTAATTATGTGAATGTCACTTTGAAATCAGACATCCCAAGTGGGGAAGCCACAAAGATTTAGCTGCATGAGCACAGGGCAACAGAAACCTATTCTTTCCATTAAAACTTAGGACAGGTTTACAATTGTCTTTCCACAGTGAGTCCTTACACAGGCAGCATCTTCAACTCTTTCACTGTCATTCATACTGTGTATGAAGAAAGAGGCGAGGTGATTGCTGAGCATTTGCTTACAAATTGCTCTTTTCTGAGCTAGGCCTGCTCACAGCAATCTAGCTGTTCAGAGCATGGCAAACAATGAGCACCCATGGTGCCATCACAGGCAATCAGTACACTCCAATGCACCTTCAACAGGAGAGGCACGAAACCGTGAGGATCCTGAAGGCCATGTTTCTCAACACATTCTAGTGCAGGGCTCTAATTTAACCTAACTAGGAATTAAAAGCAATTAAAAACTTAAGCCTCATTTTTCCTAGCCTTCAGGTACTGAGATGAATCAAGTATAAGAGGAATTAAGTATAAGCTTACAGGGGGATGAGGGTAGAACTCAAACACTGACAAGATTAAGCTATTTCAAGGCAGCTGGCTCTTCAGAGAGGTTTATCACTCAGAGCTTGTACTCCTTGCTAGATTGAGACATCTCAAATTTCTAAGCCTGTATTTTTATACTGTCACTCCACTGTCTTGTGTGGAATATACCAGAAAATTGACGTTTTCCAGATGTAAAACAAGTCCTCATAGCCATGTAATATAAGTACAGTTAAAAAGGGATCCATCACCGATCAGACAGGACCAGCCTTCCACCACTTCAACAACAGCTTGACACTATACCAAGGGAGAACACTGCACTGTGGCTAAGGGGGTTTGGCAACTGTTAAGAGCAGTATTTTGCTCTACTGTTCAGCAGTATTTTAACCAAACTGCACCACTACAATATAACCAAAGGTATCATATATGTATCTATATCTAAAAATATATAAACTTATATGCCTATAAAATGTTTGGATGGTTGTATGCATCTGTTCTGTATTTTACTGCTCGTGCTACACCACCAGCCGTTGCATGCAGGGAGAAAGGTTTCTATCCATGCCTAATTATCACACAGGCAGTACATTTAGAGCTTCCACTCTTTATCACCAGGGTTTGCCTCACCTCTTCTACTTTGCACTGAAGCCATGGGAAAGCAAGAACAGAAGAAACAGCAAAAGAAGTTAGAAAAATTCAAACATTTTAAAGAAATCAGATACTCGCTTTGTTTTTGGCATCTCAGAGCAAAAATTCAGTCATTTTGGACATAAGGAACACAAATTCCAAGTTGAACTTTGGTGAATACACACCTGCAATCCTTATTTAGAATTCAGTCTATAGGTAAGCTTCTAACCAACTTACAGAAACTTCCAGGTACTTGACTGCTAAAACCCTTCTGTGATCCAGGTTTTGGGTAGAGATGTCATACTGCTGAAAAAGTCTATGAAGTGTGAAAACAGCCAACTGCCATTGCCAACCAGGCAAGTTTGTTCTGTATAGGAACAGGCTGTTAACAATGTAACCATTAGGCCCCCCGCTTTAGACAACTTCTTATTCCCTTAAACACACATATGTGCTCTCTGGAAAATCAATATTAGCTACTGGTGAAGTTAAACTATTTGAGTGCTTTATTTTGTGGCAGAGACTACTTACTTATTTGATTTAAAGTTTCCTGGGGAATCCAGCTCATATCAACATCGTTCTGATTCGATGTTCCCATTTCAACTTTCTGTACTGGTCTTTTTCTCTGAAAAGTCAAGGAAGAGGTTTTTGCCTTCCACAGTGTTCTGACAGCACAAATATTACAAGTAATCAATAGTTCTTTAATAAACAAACTGCAATTGTTTCGCTAAGAGACAAAGTTAGGGTTAGTCAGTAAGTGATGCTGTCTGGACCCATTTAGCAATTTATTCGCCTAGGTTTGGTGTTAACACTCCTAGGGCCTCACAGTATTTCTACATAGAGATGTTATGATTTCATGCTTGTTTAGACAGGTTCATTATACTTGTGAAAAAACAGCTGTCAGTAACCCATACTAGATAGCTGTTATGCTTCCTTAGATTGACACAGTATTCTACTATGCAACACTGCAACAGACTCTGAATAATAATAATAGTAATTTCACGTGAAGCTTCTTAGAACCACATTAAAACTGGACAGCCATTTTCTCCCAGAGTTAGAATTCATTTATCATGAGATACAAAGAGACAGCCAAGGGAAGTCTACGTAGCAAGCTCTGAATCAGCAGCTGCACACATCCAGAGACTAGAAGGTAACAAAAGCTTTACTTTCTGACAGTCCAGTATTATGGTAAAGATGATTCATAAAGAGCACTAGGCAAGAAACCTACCAAGTCTTCAGTTCTTGTTTTAAAGCTTCTATAGATCAGTCCAGTAACCCTTACAATCCTAATTCTCAAAGTACATCTTCTGAAGTTCCACCCGTACCATTGAACACCACAAGAGATGGCTACTTCTCCCTCCTCCCTGTACAGCAAGGCCTGTGCTACTAACAACACACAGTGCACCACTTACCTTCCTAGATTCTAGTAACTGATGTAGGCCAACAATAACAAGGAGACCAAGTCCAGCAAGGAACATGTACATGAAGATCCTTGAAAAGATGTTAAAGTTGTTAACTGAACATTGTTAGCATTTAAGGAAATGTATAAGCAGAGATAGAAACTAGCAATGGCTTCAGCCACGTGCTCGCTTCGTCTCTCCCAAGCCATTTCATACATGTGAGGGTAAAAATGAACCTGAAACCTGGGCGTTAACCAATACTGAGCAATTATTCTGACTTCGATTTCAGAAACCAATCCTAACTTGAATTCTGAGCAACAGAACATTTGAAGAGCATTATATAAGCTGGAAAACCACATGCGTGGTCACTGAAATTCAGCACCTGCAGTAGCGCTCTCAAAATATCACGGTTCAAGATGTTGGGACATAGATGTTTGTTTTTTGACTGCTTTAACCACTTGGAAGAGCATCAGTGAACTGCTTATACACTGATGCTTTTCTCTTTGGCAAATGTGATTTCATAGAACAGCTACTTTTAGTTGAGTTCTTTGTTTTTTAAGGTCTTTAGGGATTTCTGAAGACCTTCTCTGAACTGATGTGTTTTTAACATTTCTCTCCTTTGTTAGAATATTTAAAAGCATACAGGCACAGCAAAAATATTTTTGCAATATGTTTGCAGAAGTATAATGTACAATCAGGTCCAGCTGGTCATCTAAGAAAAAGCACTCCTAAAAGAAGCCTGTATCCATAGGGGAAGTGCAACAAAGAAGGAACACAAGTTCCTCTATTTCCTACTCAAGACATCTTTTAGTTTATATAATCTTGAATTATACTGGAGTGCTCCAGAAGCCAATTGTTCCAGCAGAACGCAGAGCCCAATCCTACAGATCAGTCCAACCCTCAGCATCTTCTACTCAGAGGAAAATGGCACAGTAGCATTACAAAAGCTTAAAAGCTTTGAATTGCTATTTAACTGTGCCTTAACACTGTGCCTTATTCCAGACTGAAGTCCTCTGAGCAAAGCAGTTGCATAAGGTGCTCAGTGACATCACAAAAACGCTGAAAATCCCTAGTAATAACACACATCTTAATTTGGGGGAAAAAGCTCAATACTGCAACAGTCAAATGCCTTCTACACCATCAACAATATACAGCAGACCTAATATTCAGCAAATCAAAAGTATGAGAACTATTTTCATTGCCTCCTCATCAATAACTTATTTTAGTACACCAGCTAAATGTTCATTTTCAGTCTCCTTACGTTTCTCCATCCAATCCATCTTCTTTTTCAATAATTGTAACCGTTTGATTGAAGACAGCATCTTGAAACATATTACCCTATTAAAAAAGTTTCCACATTAAATTATATTCAACACACAGCTTCTATCTGTTCTTGGGAAAACTCTAAAAAGCAGCTAATCTTGCACTGTTCATTTATTTGCTCATAAAGTCAAGATTGCAGATGGGATTCAGGTTGTTAAGTTTGTAAACAAAGCCCAATAAGAAAAACAAAGTGGAATTCAAGCTTCCCTGCCAGCTTTTCTTCTTTAAATGAGTATAGCCCACTACTACACAATGCAAAAGCATTCTAGCTTCCATCACTAATATAACACATGCAGCATAAAATGTGCACATGTTGTCAAAGATGTAGACAGTGTGTTCATGCACCTACTGATGTGCTTAAGGACTTCAAAGGCACTCACTGTCTGAAGAAATAGGAACTTGACTAAGCAGCTCCTTCCTGATGCTTCCACATCAGCTAAAAACACTGCAAAGAATTACAAATCGTGCTTACATTTGCATCTCTGTAGTTGAGATTGATAACTAATCCAAAAGGACGGCCCCCCATAGGCTCAGCAGGGATGAAAGAGTACTCAAATGTTGCTTGTCTCTGTGGCGGAACTACTGTATTGAGGGGGAGAGCTGTGAAGTTCTGGATATAAAACTGGTAGTCTTGAGGGTACCGGAACGAAGCATCAAGAGACTCAACAATGAAGTCTTCTGTACCCTTATTGGTGAAGCCTACCAGGAATTTCACAATGTTGTTTGCTGGAAAATCTGAAACAAGAATATTTAACTATTAAAATTTCTCAGTCAGCAGACACTGTCCCTGTTTCTACAGTCAGACCCTCTAAGAGCCTCATTGCTTTAACCAATAAGCTGTAAGCGCAGTAAAGGAAATGGTAAATTGGCACAGGACTCTTACCTTCACCTTTGACAAATAATATTGTTGTATCAGCACTAGGTGAGGCCTTAGGTTCTCCTGACAAGTCTTCTTCCTCTTTTTCTTCTGTCTAAGACAAGAGACTTTATTGAAAAATCCTATAGTGAACAGTGAAGGTAAAGACCGTGCTTGCTTTATGAGAATCCCACACGATACGTATCAGTGTGCCAAACCATACCATGACAAGCATTAGTACCAATTCCTGCAACAGTACAATTAGCACTAAGTCTGCTCTCCTAGATTTGATCTGCACTATTTTTAGTATTTATCCTTCTCTAACTGACAAAGCGACTAAATTCAGCTGCATTTGATCATAATTAAAAGCTTTCTTACCTCAAAGCAAGAGTAAAGTTTTTGTTCAGGGATGGAAGGAAAAGAGCAGGATCTGAGTATTCATTGATCACATAACTAAGCTAATTTCCACTTACAAATCATGGATAACTGTAAGGCAAGTGAGAATTATTTTCACTGCAGATGGAGTATATTCAACTTTAAATACTGCTTTAAGTAGTATTATGTTTGCCTGGAAACAGATTTTTTTGGAGCAAAGAGAGTTTATTTGTTCAAGCTCACCTTTGTGATGACTTTTTAATGTGGCAATTAAAACCCCTTAGGGGTGTATTTCCAAAAGAGGGGATCAAGGAGTCACTATCTTCTCCATCAAATGAAAACAAGATTGTTTTCACTTTGAACTGCCTGCTGAAGCAACTGATTTGGAATGAGTTGTACCGTTTGATTCACAGCTAAAACAACCACGATGCAGCATCTACCTACTGGACCAGCTATGCACACCATTTGGCTGGGAAAACTGTGAAGTCAAGAAGCGAGGCTCAAGGTGCTATGCAAAACTACCTTGCTTCAGTGACATATAAAACAAACTGCCAAAAAAGGATTCCGTTTTGTACTTTGCTTAGTTATACACTATTTTTTTAAATTACATCTGTTAGGTCACTTAATGAATTCTATCAGTACAGAATACCTAGCACATCCTCCACCACTTCGCAAAGCTGGCAAAGCTCACAAACAGTAATAAGACTAACAGAATCATAGAACAGTTACTGGGATTTCATTTGTACACTGCAAGTTTTCTCCTTCCTAACTATGCCCCAAACTTTCTTATTTTATGCCAGAAATTCAAGAATTCAACCATATTCTCACACAAGCCCCTTATTTCGCTTGGAGGTCTTTTCACAAACTGCAGTTCTGGTAGCAGGAACCTGGCTGTACCCCATGTGATGTCTTCCCCACAGGTAATGACAAATCCTTCTGAAGCTTCAAGCAGAATGGAAGCTTAAAGGAGATTCTGGAACAGCTACTTAGAAATATCAATATCAATACTATTAAATGCACACTTAACTGTGCATCTTCAAGCACTTTTGGTCCAATTCCTACTTATGAAAAAAACATTCATGTACAGTTACCAAGTCTGTAGGCTCATCTTCTTCAACTTCAGCTTCATCATCTTCATCTTCAACTACAGTATCTTCCACAGCTTCCTCATCTTCTGTAGCATCCTGAGCTGCAGCTAATAAGCCTGAACCTATTGAAACAAGATGCAAGCACAAAAGCCTTTCAGTATCTTCTTAACCAATAGAAAATAAGCAATAGAAAACTGGTGAAGTACGCAGAGGGCAACCAAGTTGCCATGAAAGCTACTGAAATACATCGGTTTTTATCATTACAAATGTAAAATCTAAAGTGATTGCTATTATCAGTAACATAACTTTGGGAGCTATGTTTCTTTTAAGACCAGCAAGCTTAGTAAATGATTAACTGCCCTTTTCATTTGCCAGTATCAGAACACTACTCTTTCACATGTAGTTATAAAACAACTATAAGTTTTCATATCTAGGAAAGTGTTTTAATGTAATCTCCTCAATACACCAGTATATTAATGTGCTCAACAGAGCTGGATTGCCAGTCAGAAAAAAAAACAAACCATAAGCTAGAACAAGATAAGTGCAGTCAAGCAGTTCATCCCTTCTCTGCTTTTATGGTGCTGAGCCTCATACATTCAAACACTAAGCAGGGCAGACATGCCTGAATCCAGCAGTAGCCACAGGGCAGATTTATGCCTGTATTTAGAGCACATATCAGTTAAGCAGATGACTTTTACTTATACTAGGAAGAGTGTATCCTCCTAAGAGCGGTGAGGCAGTGGCACAGGCTGCCCAGAGGGGCGGTGGAGTCACCATCCCTCGAGGTGCTCAAGTGTGGATGTGGCACTGAGGGATGTGGTTAGCGGGCACGGTGGTTGGACCAGATGATCTTACATGCCTCGTCCAACCTTCACGATTCTATCATTCAGAAGAATGCAGTTTCGCTGATTCTTTTCCAATGAAGCGAATGCTTTCCAAAAAATGAAGGAGCAGAAATGAATGGACGATGGAATTGCGCAAGCCTGAAGCAGCCCACAGCTCTGAGCACACACGCTAAGCAAACATTCAGAAACTTTCACGTGGAACAGAAACCCTTGACCAACGCTCTTACAGCTTCAGGATTCCCAGTGACGGTCGGAAAAAGCCAATAGAAGCCCCTCTCTCGGATTCCTTAGGGATCCACTCAAAGACTTCGCCCGATCACACGCAACATTTAAGCGCAGCGATTTCATCCACTGAAGTTTTCTCGGACTTTAAGCCCGCAAGTAACGGATTAACCAAACCCCGACGGCTGAGCAGGACAGAAGCGAGCTCCATGCACCCTTCGCACGGAGCCCACCCCCCGACCCCCAGCTCGCAGCGTTCCCGTCGGACGCCAGGAGGGCTGATGATGTGGCAGGAGCGGGAAAGGAGAGGGAAAGGAGCGGGAAAGGAGCGCCCCGCCGCGCGGGAATGACCGAGGCGGCCGCCCACCGTCCGCCCAGCCGGCGGCACAGCAGCAGCCGTCACATGGCGAACGAGAGCGGCGATCGGCGCTCTGAAGGACACCGCGGCGGGAGGGCCGACGTGCCGCCAACAGCCGCCGCCAATTGCCACCGCCACCCCCCTAGCAGCAGCCCTTCCCTTCGTTCCCTTCACCTGCGCCGCTGCCCCGGAGCAGCAGGGCGGCGGGAAAGACGAGCAGGGCGAGCAGCAGCAGGCGCGGCGCGCTCCTCATGGCGGCGGCAGGCCGGCAGCCCCGCGCTTTGCGCTGCGGGCGCTCTAAATGGCGGCCGCCTCCATCCGGGACCGCCCCGCCTCGCGCCGCAGCGGACGTGGCTCCGCCGGGGAGGAGCAGCGCGGTCACGCGGGCTCAGCACACGTCGCCTTTCAGCTCGCCGCCCGCGCGCATGCGGCGAACGGTCGGCTGTCCTCGCTTCCTGGAGCCGCCTCTGCTCTCTATGCCCTCAGTGCGCGTTCCCGGCGCCTCCCTCCCACGAGCCTAGCGCTGTGTGGTGAGGCGGGGGCACGCGGTTTTCCCGTTGCACTTTCTTTAGGTCAGCTGGTGTTTGGTGGGTTAGTTGAAAAAGCTTCACGAAGTATAATGGGCGACGTCTTTGATAAGCGATGCTTTATTCCCGAATATCTTCCCCAGATTGCCCAATCAAAAACTGAGTGAAACCTCTAGTCCCCAAACAGCCTCCATGCGTCCTCTTTCCCTCAAAGTCAGAGTACAAGCAAACATAAGTAACGTTTAATTGCATTCAGTGTTTTGCAGTAACTTCTGTTCGTCATACGTGTGTGTGCAGCTTTCTGTTTTGGCAGTGGTAGCCAGCATCTTCCTCCAGATTTTCATTGAATCCATTCTGAACCTGGAAATTAAAAACAACAGCAACAAAAACTGCCTTTTTGGGGTAATTTTTGTCTGTCTTACTTTAAGCATGCTGACAGAGAAATGTTCACTATTGGCTGAAGCATGAATATGAAAACCACAGACCATCCATTGCTACAGGACAGGGAGGTCATCCTGCCCCTGTATTCAGCACTGATGAGGCCCCACCTCAAGTACTGTGTTCAGTTTTGGGCATCTCCATACAGAAAGGACACTGAGGTGCTGGAGCATGTCCAAAGAAGGGCAGCAAGGCTTGTGAAGGGCTTGGAGAATGTGTCCTGTGAGGAGAGACTGAAGGAACTGGGGCTGTTTAGTCTGCGGAAGAGCAGGCTGAGGGGAGACCTTATTGCTCACTTCAAATACCTCAAAGGTGATGGCAGCGAGAGTGGGGTTGGTCTCTTCTCACTGCTGACAGGTGACATGATGAGGAGAAATGGCCTCAAGTTATGCCAGGGAAGATTTAGGTTGGATATCAAGAAAGACTTCTGTACAGAAAGGGTTGTTAAGCACAGGAACAGGCTCCGCAGGGAGGTGGTTGAGTCACCATCCCTGGATGTGTTTAAAAACCGTTTGGCTGTGGTGCTCAGGGACATGATTTAGCAGAGGGATGTTAGAGTTAGGGTGGTATGGTTAGGTTGTGGTTGGACTTGAGGATCTCTGAGGTCTTTTCCAACCTGAGCAATTCTGTGATTCTGTGATTTCTGTCAGAAATACCTATTTAGTGGTAGAACGTTTTGTTCCATAGAGATTTGTATGCTGTTTAACATAATCTTTGGTCAAATGAGTCTGACTTAACCAATCATGGCTTTTTGAAAAAGTAGCCAAATATTTTTGCTTGGGAGAAAGAAAAGAGCAAACACCAGCTGGAGGTGCTCTATTTAGCACAGTCCAGTATGAAATACTCTGTATTTTGAGTATCAGCTGCCTACAACATGTGCTTTTCTTCCATTCAAGTTAAATGGCTTTGCTGTCATAAATTAACCTGTGTGGTTCTCTTACTGAGTTTACATGTGGTGGGTGCAGGGAAAGAGCATGTAAAAATAAGTGAGATATGTTGACCTATGCAGCGGAAATGCTAAGTCACAGCCTGAACCAGTGATTGAGCACCTGGTGGGAACGCAGGGCCAATCCAGGGGAGCTCAGATGCAAGCAATGCTCTGAGTGACTGGAAGGGGTGGAGCCAGGATCCGTCCTTTCCCAGACCTCATTTAAGGGTTGGCAGTGGTGGTGAGGGTATTTTGCTGGAGATCCCGGTATGCCTCAAGCTTTCTGAAGGTAAGCAGTTTTTCTTCTTCTTGGATTTCTATGCTTAAGGTTGCTGTATTTGATCTTGTTCTCATGTGCTGTAGTCCAGGAGTGTGCCACTCCCCTGTTATTGTACTTTCTATCATATTATCATGTTACAACCAGTTTTAGTGAAGTCTTGTCTCCTTCAGGCTAATACTGCAGCAGTGCAACAAAGCCTATTGGGCTACACATCCTCTGTGTTAAGTCCTATACTCCTAATGAACAACTCATAAGCTGAAAGAAAATAAATAAAAAGTCTAAACAGATAATTAAAGCAAACTATGGGGTCTTGTTGAGTTTGTTTTTTTTAGGGGGGTGAGGGGGTCTGACTGTAACTGGGGAGTTCACATACATAAATATCAAGTGTTAATAGTAATCACCATTGTTGCTTTTCTTCTGTTTGGCATCTTGTATGCAGGGTGTTAATTCTGAGCAGACCGGGAGGAACTTTTTCCATTACCCATGTGAATCTTGAAGTGGCTATAGCTGTATGCAAGCAACATAAACTTGCATTAAAAAAAATCTTTTTAGTTAGAATTTATTGTTATTATGGTATCACAAAAAGAATTATGTTTCTTATTATCTATGGTGATAAGTTTACCTCAGGCTTCTATTTTCTATTTTGAACTTCTGAAATGATTCCTGTGGGCGTGAGTTTCTTTTTCTAAGCCACCAGCAAAAGACAAAGCACTTTATATTTACTTAAAAAGAGCATATTATTTCTTCATTAATGCTTGCCTTTTGTGTGGCAAAGAGTTTGAGAGTTCACTGGGCTTTCTCCTCAGTATGTACTCTGTGGCTTGTGCGAGATGGATACAGCAAAGGGAGGTCAAAAATGGTGTCATACACAAAATGGCTGAAGTCAAGAGACATGGCTTCAATTATTAGGTCTGTCTATGTCCTGTTTCTTGTGTAAATTTGGGAAACAACTTCCCTTCGGGTCTCTTCCACGTGTTCCTTTCCTCTAGTTTGTCTGACTGGTTTTGCATTGTGACTGTTTTGCGTTTGGGAGACCTGATCCAGTTTTCAATATGTACTGTCCAACTATCTGTGGTCTAGCTGCAATGGAAGCCCCTTTATTGTTAGCTTGACAGACATTAATAAAAGCAATTCTATGCGTCCAAGGTAAGGTACACTGTATCAAGGATTAGCTCTTCATTATCTCCTGTAGTTTAGAGAAGTAGTATGGCTTTGGGAAAGTTTCTCCTACTATTAAATAGTAATATGCTAGTCTATAGTAATAGAACTTCTCAAAATGATAGTGTGTGGCAGTTACTAATTATGGATTCCAGTGAGGATTGTCAGTTTCACTTATGGATTACGCCAGTTACAATTACGGGTTCCAGTTACACTTGTGTCTATAAGGTGCCTTTCTACAATATTTGCGTTGAGTTCTAGTGGAGAGTCTAAAGACTAACCCTAAAGAACATCTTTGTCAAATTTTGGCATAGCTACAGTACTCTTACCTTAAAGCAAGAACTAAAGCAAAGCAAAACAAAAACAAGAAATGAAAATTGAACAATAGGCTAAAACACTTGATTGTTGAGAATGAAGAAAATAAGACGCTTACAATAAAGAGGTGAGAAATGTCTTGCAGTATAGTTTGTAATATAAAAACATTTTAATTGAGCATTTAAAAAAAAAAAAAAAAAAAAAACTCTTATTTAAAGTAAACATAATCTGGGAACTTTAGTGAAGATGCACTACCCCATACATTCAGAACTCAGGCTCTGAAGGCCACCTGTGGGGTTCATTTTGGGACAGGAGCTCTTCAACTTCTTTATAAGTCATCTAGACAATGGGATCAAGTGCAAATTTGCTGACAACACCAGTCTGAGTGGTGCAGTTGATATGGCAGAAGGAAAGGATGTCATCCAGAGGGACTGGACAAGCTTGTAGTGGGCGTATGTGAACCTAATGAGGTTCAATAAAGCTAACTGCAAGGAGTTGTTGGCAATATCTGTACAGACGGGGAGAACTCACTGAGAGTAGCTCTATGGAGAAGTACTTGGGGGTTCTAGCAGATGAAAAGCTTGCAGTGAGCCGACAGTGTGCATTTGTAGCCTGTACAGTCAAATGAATTCTGGGCTACATCAAAAAAGAGGTGGCCAGCAGCATGAGATCCAATCTATCCTTTTGAAGTCCCATCTGGAGTTCCCAACACAAAAAAAGAGGTGCAGCGCTTGGAGTGGGTCCTCAGGAGGGCCACAAAGCTGATCAAAGGGATGGAGTACCTCTCCAGCAAAGAAAGGCTGAAGTAGCTGGGCTTCTTCAGCCTGGGGAACACTTGGAAGGCCATGCTGGCTCTCCAGTACTTAAAGGGAGGCTTATAAATAAAATAAAATAGAGGCTGACATTTTACGGAGTCTGATTGTAGCTGGTGGCAGCCCTGACTGCAGGTGGGTTGGAATTAGACAATTTTTAAGGTTCCTTCAGCCTAAACCATTCTGTGATTCCACAGTTCCATGATTCTAATTCAAGGTGCAACACCAACAACTGCATTTGATATTCTTAATGCCTCTCTCTTATATTATACAGCTGGGAAGCCCTATGTTCACATATATAAGATGTATTCTACTATCTTATAAAGTACCATTTTGAGAAAGTTATTGCCATCTTGCAGTTTTGTTTTTTTTTTTTTTTTAATAGTGTATTCTCCATTTCTGCTTTCTTCTTGACAGCCCAATATTCTCCTTTGATATACTGGATCTTTTCTGCCTATAGATGCCTCCTATGGGAAAAACGTTGTGCCTGCACCTGAAGACTCCCAGCTGGCCACACAGAAAAGTGTGTTGCTTCTTTGGCAAGTGCTTCTGTGACTTAGTCACATGGTTGTTTTGTGGGAAGCATATTGGAATTTTATATAGCACCAAAAAAGAATTAACTTTCTTACGACTGTTTCAACCAATATTCATGGAAATAACATAATACAGCTACGAAGAAATACTTTTTTTTGGAACTTAACGTGATGTATAGATCATTCTTTATCAGGAGCCACCTAGCCAGTACACAGTGCAACTACATCATATTCACAGCAGCACTGAAGAACCGTATGACTAGGTTTCTCTTTCTGATGTGTGCTTCTTTAAACCAAAATGTGCATGAAGCTGAAATATAGCCTTGCATATTGGATTATCAAATGATACAAACATACTGCATGAAATGGAGGAGATCCTGGCCTCCTGCTGTGCTTATGTACATAGGGAATAAAAGGGACTGCAAAAAGCAGAGCAGCATTAATCTTAATGTCCAAGACAGCACGAGCAGGATTTTTTTAGACAGCTGCATTAACTTGCTTGCTACCAATCTTTGATATGTCACTGCAGTGAAGTGAGATCCTCGGCTCGGCTGGACTAGCTGAGGCCAAATCTCAAGAACAGGCTGTTTGCTTTGTAGTTACCTCCTCACAGCTATTAGTGCTGTTTGTCTTGAGACAGCTTATTGTGATCATGGACAAGAGAGGACAATTCACAGCTTGGAAGAAGGTGGAAGGACTCAGCTATTAGAGAACTACTTCACTCTGCATTCTACTGGCAGAGTAGAAGGGAAATTTGTCAGTTACAGCAGCTTACTTCTAAAGCTGTAAGTAAACGAGCTGAGTGCTGCCCTTACAGTCGCCGCTCCGCCGACCTTATGACGTCACACACACGTGACCGTTCGCGCTCGATGCTTTCTGTCTCTGTGCAGCCGCCGTACGGCCTGTCGGCTGTGCCGTGCGGCCGCCGCCATGGATTACCGCGCTGAGGTGATGAGGCAGGCCGTACCGGGGCAGTTCGATGACGCGGAGTGCTCCGACGGGTATGTGCGCACGTAGCCGGACGCGGAGGGCGCTGGGCTTTAGCGAAGCGGGGCGGCCCCGCTGGAGCCGTTCGGGTTCTGTTTGGAGTGATGGGGGTCCCGCTGCTCGTTGCTAAAGGCCGTTCTCTTTCGTCCTGTCACCATTACTCGAGAGGTGAAGCCGCCTCTCGCCTCACCACAGCCTCCTTTCTGGTAGTTGTAGTGTGCAGTGAGGTCTCCACTGAGCCTTCTCTTCTCCAGGCTAAACAATCCCAGTTCCATCAACCGCTCCCTGTAAGCCCCCATGCTCCACACCTTTCATAGCCCTTCTCTGGACACACTCCTGGGCCTCCATGTATTTCTTGTAGTGAGGGGCCCAAAACTGAAGTACTCACAGCATTCAGTACTTTAGGTGGGTGAAGTGACAAGCATCTCCCAGAGAGCTAACATCCCAGAATTGCTTGCTGAGTTAGGTATACTGAACTTGTTGTAACCGTAACAACCACTTGTAGTTATATCAGTCTGTATTTGTTCCAAGTGACCTTGCAGAAGATGCAGAAATAATTCAGGAAGATGAGTTTGTTGAGAAATGCCGGTCAAGCTTGTGCAAAGGAATCAACATGAAGAAAGGAGATAGTGATGATGACAGTGTTGATGAAGAGGAAGAAGAAGAAGAAGATGATGATGACTGGGACTGGGATGATGAGATGGGAAGACTCATGAAGTGCCACACTGCTGCTGGATGCAATCAGCAGGTATGCTGAAGGCTATTCTCTCAGTAACAACAGTGTCTTAAAGCAGATGAGGCTAACCCAGAGGTTTTGTTCTGTTTAGTCCTGAGCATCAGTTCTAGTGGAAATTCATCGAGAGAAACCTATTTCTTTGTATCTGTTGTTGTGCCATGCTGTTTGTGTAGTCAAAGCTGTACTTGGCTTCCTTATCTTAAACCTTTTTGCTGGGTTCTCTGTGTCTTTGCAGTTTTCCTTCTGATCCCTAATTTTCTCAGCGTTTCATTCTTTGCTCACTCCTATCTCTGTTGATATTGCTTTTCTTCCTGGAATTTGTCCTTTTTCTTCCAAAAATTTTCTTCCAAAAATTTGTGATTTTTAAACTACTTCCCCGCTCTTCCCACTGAATGTTAGGACAGTATCTGCTTGTCACATTCATGAGTTATGCTTTGGACTGCATTGTTGTTTAACACTGACAGGCAGCTAGGTACCATGGAGCCACTGTATAGGTCTCTTCAGCAGGACAGGGAGGGGGAAGAAATGAAACAAAGGAAGAAAGAAAACAAGAGCCTTGTGGTTTTGAGATAAGAGGAGTTTAATACAAGAAAAAAAGCAAAGGCCATCTAGAAGCAGAAGGAGAAACAATTGTTCTCAACTTCCCATCACCAAACAATGTTCAGCTGCTCTTGGGAAGCAAGACCTCCATAAGTGTAGTGGTTGGTCAGGAAGACAAACACTTTGATAATGAAAGCATAACGTTGTATAGCATAGAATATTCTCTTGGTCAGTTTATGTCAACTGTTCTGGACGTGTCCCACCCCTCACCTGCTGGCCTTTGGAGGGGAAATTGGAGAGTCTTCATGCTGTGTCAGCACTGCTCAGCAATAGCCAAAACACTGCTGCAGTACCAGCGCTGTTAGAGCTACACACACAAAGCACAGTGTTGCATGGGCTACTGTGGGAGCCATATCCAACTCTTCCTAACAGCAGTAATAATACAGGTGGAAGAAAGTGCTGGAAGTGGGTGGATTTAGAAACTCTGTGCAGAATGTAAGGCCCATGAAGGTGTGAGAATTAGAGTCCTTTGTCCTCTCAGCCTGGCCAGTAGAGGTTCAAAATCTCTCTGGTATCAGTAACAGCATAACAGAATAGCTGAGATAAATGAGAGTGGTGCTGATAGTGGTATACTGTCTGACTCAAAGCACCTGTGTGATTTACTCTTGCTTATTAGCATTTTTTGCTGTCTGGTGTTGATGGAAAAAGTGTTCAGATACTGTGTTGTTTAGAGAAGACCGTCTGTTTAAAAGAAGAAACCGTCTTGGGAAGTTCTTTCTGTTCTTCATCTTCTCATTTTTTTTGTTCTTGTTTCTATCTGTTACTCCCTTTTATTTTAAAGATGAAAGAGTGTTTATAGTTTGCAGGTCAATTTTCGAAAGTAACCCTGAACTGGGGCACTTTTTGGAATCCATTTCCTCGCTCATTCTGGTTTTCTGCTTAGAGCTATTGGCACAGGTACTTGAGCTGACATTTCCAGTGGTATTGTCTGTATCTGAAGGGACTGTTTAGAGAAGGCAACTTACACTGACGAATCCTTTGTTTCAGGCAAATAGGCAGACCCCTAGTTGCTATTCAGCAAAAATGTCTACCCCTACAGACAAGGCTTTGAGGAAATTTGAACATAAAATTAATTTAGGTGAGTATAATTGTGTTGTCTTCTTCTAAGAAAACAGATACCACTCTGAAATTCTCAGGCTAATTCTGCTTGCTTTAAGCCAGAATTTACTGGAATGGCAGCTGACTGTTGCCAGATAATTATTAAGGGCTTTTGTGTACTTGAAATTGCCTTTAGTCTTTGCTAACCAGCTGTCATATTCCTTTTCTACCCCTTCAGAACCAGAGAATTCTTTTTCTCTTTACTTCCTCAGGTCACACAAAGTATTTGTTCCATAGCCTCTCTGTAGAAGCCCAAGCAAATTGTTTGGGCTGAGGGAGACTAGTAGCTTTCTGCTGCAATGCACTGGTCGTTCTCTAAAATGCTACTGCAACTCAGTTTCTTTAGAGGATTGAGGTTCCTTGTGGTATTAGTGTGGTACCTCATGCAGCGGTTACCTGACAGAATTTTTGAGACGAGATTTCTTTCCTTTCTTGTGTGCTTGTTTATTGTGTGATTAAAATGGCTGCTCTGCTCGGCCTGTTAAGAAAAGTTGTAGCTGTGAGTGGGGCTTTTTAATGGAACAGTAAATAGTTGCATTTCCTTCATAATTAAGTGGTTCTAAAATGAAGGCTGCAAAGAGTGGTACTGGTATGTGTAGCCAAACAGCAGTTTTATGTAGTTAACAGTCAAGCACCATTTTGAATATGCTGTGGGAACAGAAACTTGGAGACTGCTGTGTCCTCTGGCATTGGACTGGCTTAAGAGAAGGGCAGATAAGTTTAACAGTAAAATGTCATCCAAAGAACATTACTTCTGGTTGGCATTGCATCCCTAAGCTCATGAGACTACAATAGTTATGTTGTAGTCCTGCTTTGGAGTGTAGTCAGAGCAGATAGTTGGGTAAACTCATGTTTAACTAAACTTCTATGACGAGCTTCTATCTTCAGGCACCCAACTGGCTTGTTATACAGAGATCCATCTGTGTTTGAACATTGTGTTGTGGCATACTGACTGTCGGGAGAATTGCAGAAGCAATTCCAAACAGAAAAAAAATTTCTTTTCCTCTCCATATCTTATGTGTTTTTCAGATAAGCTGAATTTTGATGACTCTGTTATAAACAGAGTCACAGAAAAGTCTAGACAGAAGGAAGCAGACATGTGAGTATTACACTGTCTCTATACTCATTGATGTAATTTGAACTCAGAAGAGTTCTTCTTATTCCCTGGTTTGATCCTGAAATTTGAATAACTTTATTAAGGAAAAGAGAACCAACTTCTAAGCAAGCAGTCAGCATGCAGTTTGCATCTCAGTCTTAAACTTTTTTGATTTCCAGATCAGTTTCTTAAGTTATTCCACAGTTGTGATCTTCTTGTCCCTGAAATGGAGACAAGAAGCTATCTGTAACGGGGAGGAGCACTGATGCTTTTGGGCTTCTTTTTTTTTTTCTTGGAGAAAACTTTGCTGTTGTATGAACTGAGAGCCTTCTTTTTTGAGGCTGTCATCTTCTCTTTGTTTTACTTTATTAAAGTATATGTAGGTTTATATTGCTTTACTTTGTCTAGGTGCCGAGTCAAAGATAAGTCAGACAGAGCAACGGTAGAGCAAGTAAGTCCTTAATGCCTCATATTTCTCTTTTGACTGGAATAAATAATCTGGAATCTTGAAATCATTGGTAAAACAGCTGATGTAGGAGAAGCCTTGCCTTGGAATTCAGTTTCCCTTATCCTAAAGAAGCCTGTTGTTCCTCTCTTTCTTGTATGAAAGTTGTGCTTGCTCCCATAGCTGTTTTGGAGCTCATTTTTGTGCTTGGCATCATGATTTGATGGTATATGCAATGCAGAATTCCACTTTAAGCATTTATTGAATTCCGAGCATCAAACAGAAAATGCTGGGTTTGCTTTCTTCCCATTTTTCTTGAGGAAGGCTGAACTGTTACTGGCCCAAGGCCATATAGCTGCTCCATTTATGCCTGCTATACCATATTTTACCATCTGGTGCACATCTAAGTGGGAAATCATTCTCTTTAGTCTGTTGTGAAGCTAGCTCAAGGACATACACTCATTCTAATTTCTACTTTTTTTGAAATAAATTGAAGTATCGTTCTAGAATCATGGCAAAATCCAGTATGGCAGCTGTTTGAGCATCTTTTGATCCTTAAGAACAGCCTGATGTCATTGGTCCTTTAGTGTAGTACTAAGGAGGGGCTGTAGAAGTAAGCAAGCTTAATTCTCTTCATAGAGGGCACTTGTAGTGACTGTTCTTTGTTTAACTTGAGGTGTTGGACCCAAGGACCCGAATGATTCTGTTCAAGATGCTGAGTAGAGGTGTCATATCAGAGATCAATGGCTGCATCAGCACAGGGAAAGAAGTAAGTGTTGTTACCAATGATGTGACAGTCTATTTCTCAGCAAGCTAGGTAAGGTATGTACTGAAATGTTTAGTTTTCCTGCTGTTTTATTTGTTGCTCGGTAGGAAGTTATTTTAAGATGCAATTTATGTTAAAGGAAGTCAGTTTCCCTGATGATGAAGGATTTCTCAGAATACTTAAATTTGCCATTCATTCTCTGTTGCAACTGAAATTTTTTACAAACTCTGTGTATGTATAATATTAAACAGTGCTTGAAAGGCATGCAAATGTAGGTAGTTCTTCATAAGGTATTACTGCATGTGAATCATATCAGTTCTGCATCTCTCCAGGAGTGGGAGTATCTAATGATGTAACAAAATGCAGCTGAAAATACTGTTTTACAAAACTAGCATGTTTATGCACTGCTGTTATCAAGTTATATGACAGATAATTAAAACCAGACCAGAGTTTTCCAAGTAAATTAATAAATGGGTTTTGGGATGCTTTGTCTCTAGGCTGATCTGGTTTTCTTCCAGGTTCATGCATGCTGATTAAAGGCATGCTTCCACTCTGTGTAGTGGTGTCAACATGATATGCTTGGGCCGTGCTGTAGGGCCTGAGTAGTGCACGAGTTCCAGTTAATGTCTGCACAAAAGGGGTTGTTTCAAAATGTGGATGGTGTGGAATTCTCCAGTTTGTTGTTCCTTCTGTTCTGTGTGCATGCTCACACTGTTGCTGTCTTAGGTACTTATTTGTAAGCTGTCTCTGCTAGAAAGAGATTGCAATTGCATAAAATCTTACAGACTCAGCTGAGTGCCACATGGGGGCTGAAGTGCAGAGGCTTCTCAGATATCTTCCAGAATGTCAGAAGAAGAAAGCAGATTGTGTCAACTTAAGGCTTTTCGTCAGTGATGTTTCTTCCATTTTTTTAATCCAATAGGCTAATGTGTACCATGCCAGTACTGCAAATGGAGAGAACAGAGCAATAAAGATTTACAAAACCTCTATTTTGATGTTCAAGGATCGGGATAAGTATGTGAGCGGTGAGTTCAGGTGAGCTGGAGTTTGGCCTCATTTTGTTGAGTGGGAGAGGTTGTTTGAAAGGTGGTGAAATGATTAATACTGCATTGATTTGCTAAGGGTCCTCCTTATTTTTTATCTGTTTTAAGATTTCGTCATGGATATTGTAAAGGCAACCCAAGAAAAATGGTGAAAACATGGGCTGAAAAGGAAATGAGGAATTTAATAAGGTGATTCTTCCAGTTTTTATTTCATCATCAAAAGTAACAAATTGACATTACAGGAGATGTTCTTGTATTGCTTGGTCATGGATGTTACTACACTTTATGGTCTCTGGAGTATTCAGGAGAGTGTTTTAATCTTCCCTGTGGGAAAGAAGACAAGGGGGGGGAGAGATAAATCACAAAATGGCAAGGGTTGGAAGGGACCTCAAGGATCATGAATCTCCAACCCCCTCCCACATGCAGGGCCACCAACCTCCACATTTAATACCAGACCAGGCTGCCCAGGGCCCCATCCAACCTGGCCTTGAGCACCTCCTGGGACAGGGCATCCACAACCTCTCTGGGCAGCTGTTCCAGCACCTCACTACTCATAGTAAAGAACTTCCCCCTGACATCCAACCTAAATCTTCCCTCTTTCAGTTTAAAACCATTTCCCCTTGTCCTGCTGTTGTCTACCTTTGTAGAGTTGACTCTCCTCCTGTTGGTTTGTAGGCTCCCTTTAGGTACTGAAAGGCTGCAATGAGGTCACCCCGTAGCCTTCTTTTCCCCAGGCTGAACAGGCCCAGCTCCCTTACTCTGTCTTTGTAGAGGAGGTGCTCCAGTCCCCTGATCATCTTCGTGGCTTTCCTCTGGTCCCTCTCCAACAGCTTCCTGTCTTTCTTGTACTGGGGGCTCCAGACCTGGGCACAGCACTCCAGATGGGGCCTCACAAGAGCAGTGTAGAGAGGGACAATCACCTCCCTGTTCCTGCTGGCCCCTCCTCTTCTGTTGGAGCCCAGGATACCATTTGCTTTCTGAGCTGCAAGAGCACACTGCTGGCTCATGTTAAATGAAATAAAGATACTTCTCTCTCTGGCTTTGTGCTCTGAGCTCTTTGATGTGTACACTGACTTGACTGAAAAGAGAGGAGGAGCTAGAAACAGCTGCTGCTGAGTAACAGCACACTGTGTAACACAGGTTAATCCTAGATTAACAGTGCAAAGATTCTGTCTGACCCAGGGTGCTTAGAGAAGGATCAGTGCAGAATGCTTGTGGGGGTTTTTTTGCATTCAATTTTCAGTCTTTGTATCTACAAGTTCCTTGAGCAGAAGAGTTCTTACTGTGTCTGATGGTTAAAGCAGCAGAGCTGCTGTAGGTGCTATTGCAATGCAAATAGTAGAGTTAGTTTGTATTTATCTTTTTTTTATGATTTTGTTCCTGTATTGCAGGTTGAACACAGCACAAATACCTTGCCCAGAGCCAATTATGCTAAGAAGTCATGTGCTTCTCATGGGCTTTATTGGTAAAGGAGATAGGTATGTATCCTTTGAAAATTGAAATGGTTCTTCTTACTAGTAGCTTTCCACAAAGATTTGTACATAAAACATTAGTTTGTTTTTAACTATTTCTATAGGCCTCTGAATTTAACATGTTGCTCTTATGTGTGTGTGCCACCTGTAGAGTACCCAGATCTTTGCCAGCTACCACAGCAGAAAGTCTGCATGATTCTGGAACAATTCTAAGCAGAGAACAAGGGCTAGAGAGGTTTCCTAATTTCACCTGAAGATAATCATTTTGTAGAGCAAACAGTAGCATAGCCTGATTTCTTAGTTTATATTGGAAGCAGAGCTATGGTATCTTTGGCAAGCATGTATCAAGCTTTGCTGCCTTTCATGCTAATTTGCTTGATATGGAGTGAAAGAATCAGGTACAGCAATTAACATTGGTGGCTGTGATGAAGAAGAAGGAAAGTACTCACTTTCTGTTATTTCTGTTGCAATTTTAAGGCCTGCTCCTCTGCTGAAGAATGCTCAGTTATCTGACTCGAAAGTCCGGGAGCTGTACCTGCAGATCATCCAGTACATGAGAAGAATGTACCAAGATGCCAGACTTGTTCATGCAGATCTCAGTGAATTCAATATGCTGTATGTTTTTAACCTTTGAATTGTGACATCTGAAATGTATGTGTTGGCAGCATCTTTGCATAAATTTAGAGAGCACTAACCTGCCTGTGAGGGAGGGTGGAGTTCTTTTTGTGACTGTTAATCAATTTATCAATTATGTAGCTTTTAACCCAACCCCACACCGCTCTGGCTCTTGTATGTAAGATGCATGCTTGAGAAATACATTGAGTTTGTTTGCTGGCTCATAAGATTGAAACAGGCTTTGTTCCCTGTCCCTCCATAATCTGCCATGTAAGAGTGCAGGATTCAGTGCAGCCCTGCATGTTTGTTCCACAGGTACCACAGTGGGGATGTGTACATCATTGATGTCTCTCAGGCAGTGGAGCATGACCACCCACATGCATTGGAGTTTCTGCGAAAGGATTGTGCCAATGTTAATGGTGAGCGGGCTGCTCTTGTGTGCTTGTTCTGATAGATGATTTTGTCAGTGTTTTCTCTGTGAGTGTGTTTGTTTTTAAGAAGGTGAACTGTATTCTTTCTTCCATTCTTTGAGTTATATACAACTCTGTAGAAGCTGCCTGCTCTCCTTCCTAGGTTCTTACGGGTTGTTCAGGGTGCTGTCTTCTATGCCAAGTTCAGCAGACAGTGCAGCCTATTTTGCTAGAAATCATCTGCATCTCAGATTTACAAGAGAAAGAAGAGGTCAGAGTCCTAGTCTGCAGCAGTACCCACACTGATCTTCCCTTACATTTGAAAGACTGTGCAGGCATACTGATCTGTGTCCTTCTGTGAGTGTGTAATCCACAGCTGGAATTCCTCAATTGGCAAGAGTTGTATCACAAAGTTCCTTTCCCTTTTTTTGTCAGGTCAGATTAGAAGGTAAAGGCATAGAGTAATTTATTAGAGGTCGTAGACTTGTAGTACTTTTGATTAACAGGGTACCTTATCATAATATTTGTGGCTAAAAAAAAAAAAGTTAACTTCATGGGAGTGTGCTTATGTTGTGCAAGAGAAAAAGATGTTCTGGTAGTCTGTGTTTCTGCCCAAGAACATGAAATCTGTCACAGCAGGCTGATTTTCCCTCCCCCCTTTCTTTACTATGATTTTTCCAATTGTACAGAGACATCTGAAAGTCTGAAGAAATTGTGTACGCTTTGCTGTGTATTTCTCAATACTCAGTATGCTAATTGTTCCTTTTTCTTCCTTTCTTCTTTGCCCTCTCCATTACTCCCTTCTGACTCAGACATTTGCACCCTTGCTCTTTTTTTAATGCTTTTTTGGCTTGTTTTCTTTAAATGCTATTGCCACAGTGACTTGCAGCGTTCTTGGTTGTTTTTCTTTTCTGCCACTGCAGCTTAATCTGTGCAGTTCTACAGAGGCTGTAAAAGACACCTTCTAGCTGTGGGCATTGCTAAGACTTGTGGTTCCATGAGCACGGAGAGCTGCCACCAAACTAATTTTTTTTTGTTGTTTGTTCTGTGATTAATTTCTCATGGGGGAGATATCTTCTAAGATCGTTAGTAGGGAGCAATTACTAAGTAGTCCATAGTGTGTTTCACTGCTGTTTTTCAGTACTGAAAATCATTTATGCTTGCCTCAAGAAAGCAATTCTGAGCATGGTAACAGAAAAATTCCAATATGTTCATGTGTCCCGTGTGTTCTTCCATTCAGGTGGATTATAAGCAGGCTGTACTGTTTCAGTGGGTATTTTAGATGCTCTTTGACAGAAGTTTGAGGTCTACATTCCTTATTTGAAATACATTTTTCATCTCAGCCACTGCAACTATTTATTTTTATCTCAAATTGTTTACTTCCTTCTCTTCATCCCCTGCTCTATTTAGCGTGGTTCCTACTGAAGTTGATTTGACTTAACAGTTAACTCACTTTGTTTCTTCCAGTATTTATCACTTTGGGAAAATTATGCTGTTATGTTGTTGTAACTATCACTGCTGCATGTATTGCACAACACTTACAGTTTTTTGTCTCTGCCCTTGATTTCTGATAGGCTTTTTCCAGAAGCACAATGTTGCAGTGATGACTGTGAGGGAACTGTTTGAGTTTATTACTGATCCTTCTATCACAAGTGAGAACATTGATGACTATCTGTCAAAGGTAAGGCCACATGGCATTGTTGCTCACGTAGATAGACTTGAATGATAAACTCAGAACTAGTTCAGACCCCTTCGTTTTGTGTGCCCTATGTCCTGCTGTTGAAGTTGGCTGGTAAATGAGATGCTGGATGTTTGCAGGGTGGGCTGAGTGGAGAAAGGGGTGACTCGAGCAACGTCACTTGGGGGAGAATGGTTTTTTAAATGGTTTTAAACTGAGACAGGGGAGGTTTAGGTTGGATATTAGGAGGAAGTTTTTCACACAGAGGGTGGTGATGCACTGGAACAGGTTGCCCAAGGAGGTTGTGGATGCCCCGTTAATAAAGCAGATCTGCTGTTGTACGTGTACTTGCAGCAACGTTGGTTACCATTAGGTGTCGCTCGAGGCATTGCTATGGGGAAGTTTTGTGAGTGAGACCGAAGTGCGGGGAGAAATACATACAGATGGGAATGGTTAGTTGGATGAAACGATGCGATTCTAAAGAGTGATAACTGTATTGTTTTGTATTTCTGTAGGCAATGGAAATAGCATCAAAAAGAACAGAGGAGGAGAGATCCAGCCAAGATAAAGTGGATGAGGAAGTGAGGATTTCTGTTCCTGCTATGAAATCAAAATTAGCCTGTCCTCTTCTGAACAGTGAAGACTGTTCTGTTTTATTTGGCAAAATGCACCGTTGATAAACAAAACACTGTGATGCTGATATGTCCTGAACTAGTTGAGATATGAAGGATTGAGGGATGTAGTGTATAAAAGCTTAAGTGACATTGATCATGTGCTAAAAAACAAATACTCAGTTACCTAAACTGGTGTGTTTGCTTGTAGCTAGGTCCCTTGATGAATCTTCCACTTCAGGTTTGGTTTAAAAACAAATAAAACCCAGCTAAGTAGAAGTCTGGTTGTGTCAGTGTTTTTGGACTGCTGATACACAGACCAGGAGAATTCACATCATATTCAGATACATGCATTGACCAAATTGCCTGTCTGCCATTGTTCCCAGTGTACTTCAGTTCTTCCTCATACTATTTCCCTCCCTTGCTTTTACATACAGCAGGAGCCATCTTACATCTTTTCTGCTGGTATTTTTGAAAACTGCTAATGTTCTGGGAAGTCTTGATGTAAGATGATGTGAAGATGAAACAATCTTAATTTGTTTTTTTAATCTTGCCTGTCCACTGAGAAGAGTTTAAAAACCAGCAAATCACACCACACACAAATAAAGCAACACCTTAGTGTTGGGCAGTGCTTATGTCAGCAAGAACCTCTTTGTTCTAGTTCACCCAGCATTTAATACTGGAGTCTGTGTTGCTTGATATACCAAAGACATTTTCTCTTGGGGCTCTGTAGGTTTTACTGACTGCTTCTGGTTCAAAATTGACCGGTTAAAGGTTTTCATTTCCAGAGATCTCTTGAGCATACAACTCCTTTTGAATTAGCTGGTCAGATGTTAGTGTTTTTTTATTATAAGTACTTTTTAGCAAACAGTTTATCCCTTTGCACATGTGAATGTACTGTCCTGTAAGAGACGGTTAAGTAATAGCGAAGTTCAAGTTCACTCTCAGAGTTCTCAGTTTAGCTCAACTAGCTTGTACCACTTCTCAGAAGAACAGATGATTTAGAGCACACTCTTTGGAGACAGGGTCTGTGCTGTCTGCACAACACTTAGTCTAGTAGTTAAGCAGTTAAGTGTGCTTAGTTTGTTCTAGGATTGAATTGATACTGTGGAAGAGAAAAGTAAAATACTTCAGTTTGCTGCAGGATGCTCTGAAAACGATACCCTGACAAATTTTAATGCGTTGTCAATGCTGCAGTTAGTCCTGCACCAGTATAGTACTGTAACTCCTTTTTGAGTTGGAGTCTATGTTGAAGCAGGAACTATTGCATAAAGACATTAAGTTGTATCAGCATGTTTTAATGGAATTGCCTCCTGAGAGCTTTGCAAACATAACAGTAAAAACATTGGGGAAAATTCGTAGAATATGAAACTCAAATTGGTTGAGAGGAAGTTGGGAGGATTGGAGAAGTTCCTGTGTGGCTGCTAGTAATGGTACTAACATAGGGGCCTTGTTAACCATGAGCTGCAATGGTGTGTAGGTTGCATGTGAAGAATCTGTTCCAGCAAAATAAATAGTAATAAGCTGCAGTTCAAAAGGTGGTGTGACTTCATGTTTGTTCTGAGCTTCTCTAAGCTATGAAATCTCTTGTGGTTATTCCTTTAGTGATGCTTAATTAGTATGGAAGAACATCATGAAACTATATAAATGACTGAATCTGTTTTCCCTTTGTTTTCCTAGGTGTTCAAGAAGGCTTACATACCTCGAACTTTGACTGAAGTTAAAAACTATGAGAGAGATGTGGATATAATGATGAAATTGAAAGAAGAGGATTTGGCATTGTGTGTTCAGCAAGATAATGTGAGTGTGTCTGTATAGTGTAGAATACTGAATCTAGTGCCATACTTCCAATTCTCTGGTTAGTACTGATGCTTGCACTGCTATCTTTGAGACTCATTTTCCTTGGGTATAAAGATGTAAGGCTTGCATTTTGGTAAAAATAATTTTCTTTCTGTGTCTCTGAATGTAGATTCTCTACCAGACCGTGACAGGATTGAAGAAGGATTTGTCTGGTGTTCAGAAGGTGAGAGGGCCTCTTTGAAATCCTTCATTGTATCCATTTTCATAAAAATACTTAAAGGAATACAGAGAATGCTTCATCTTGCAGCTGAGACCATGGAACAAGCCTTTTGTCTATGGAGTGACTGTTTCTGCCCGTTATGTGGCAGTGGTGTAGACTAAATGGAAATAAAAATCAGGGAAGGGATCAGGCTGCAGCCCAGTTTCTAGTGTTTAAGAGTAAGTGTGTTTTGCAGTGTAGATGTTTGTGTTTGCACTAAAGCATGTCTGCAGAGGCCCCAAGGTAGATTTTGGTATGATCCAACTGTAATTAAAAATTGGCTTTCATCTGTGTTAGCAAATTGCTGTATAACTTATGGAAATCAGTTTGGGAGTGTCAATACATCTGTGCTGTGAGCCCTAACCTTAAAGTTCCTGTCTTGTATATTTTAGATATCCTATTCTTAGTTTGAATTAACCTCTTTTTGACTCTTCTTGAGACTCAGTGATAGCTGTAGTAATAGAGAAAATGACACAAGTTTGCTCACGGGTTTCTTTGTACAAGATTATAGATATATTTTCTTCAATATGTATGTGTATATATTTTACTCCTAGGCTCCAGAGTTTAGGTTTGAGATAAACTCCCTCTTGATACATCTTGCAGATTCCTGCACTTCTAGAGAAGAAGACGGATGAGTCAGAAACAGGCTCTGATGATGATGGTGGCAGCTCAGAGGACTCTGAGTCAAGCTGTAAAGAATTTCGGCATCCCAAAGATCTTTCTGCTGTAGTTGCTATGGATAAAAAGGTCAGTTGTGGGAAAAAAAATGTACAATTTTTGACATCTGCCCCCGTGACAGGAAAAATCTACACCTCGTTTGTCCTACTTGTAGTCTGAAGCAAGCTGTGAGCTTTTTCCTGTCTGAAGAGCAAGAGCAGAGAAAGCAAATTTCATTATGGATGCTTTATTAATGATGTTTTTGTCAAGAGGAACATTATACCATAGCATTCTCTAGCCTAAACAAAGCTAGAAGAGAGATCTCTGCAGAGAGCTTTAGGGTATGCAAAGCAGAGCTTAGTGAAACCTGGGCAGATCTTCAGTCCCTCTGGCTAACCTTCCAGCTTTGGTGTGCAGGTTGGTGGATGTGGCTCCTGGTGAACCACCCTTTGTCCAGGAAACTGAGACTACCTGATGCAGCTGGAGACTTGGTGACAATGTCTGTACTACAGTGGCTTTTGTCATACTGTTGGTACAGGCTGACAAGCATTGCTGCAGGGAGAAGACTGAAAGCAGATGTGCGAGGGAAATAACGTGTTTTACAGGTTTTGTTTTCCAAACTACAGAATAAATATCCTTAGTTCTTGTGATGCTTTTCTGTGGAGTCACCCCCATGGGTGAGAGCCTGGTGGCAGCTTTTTAGGTGCTGTGCAAAAGAAAGATGAAACTTGCCAGCTTAAGGTATTAGAGTTGTGGGGGTTTGTTAGATTTGTGGGTGTGTTTATATTTTTTTCTTTTCTCCCTTAGGAAAGATAATGGATTTCAAATCCATGAAATAAAATGGCAGTGCTCTTTTAGATGCTTTTTGTACTAATCTAAAGCTACTGCCTTCCAGATCTGAAGCAGGGAGGTCTTGGTCACTTCTCAGCCTTATGGATAAGTCTTTACTGTCTAGCAGGAATTCCAGTGTATTGCAGTCACGTAGCACCCTTTCTAGCCAATCCTGATGATGATTGGATTGCTCTGAGTTACCAGCAGTTACTAGATCACTATTTTTGTTTGAGTAAAAACACATCCTACCATAGCCCCTAGGGGTAGCAGAAAACTTGGATCAGGCTTTCTATTGGAATCTTTGCTATAAATAGCATGAGTTGAGTGCATCTTGTTGCTTTTCTTCAAAGGCTGCATGAAAGTCAGGTTTTAACTAGTTTGAATTTTGTACTGTCATTACCAGTGTGCAATTCCACCCTCATATTATGCTTCCTTTCTCCTTTCCTCTCTCCCTCTCAAAGTTATTTTCATTAGACCTGCATTTTTGATGTGATGTATTAATTAACTTAGATTGATAGGCCTGCTCAAACCTCCTATTCCTGCTGGCTTTGAATGAATGGTGTTTTGGTTCTTCATAGGAGAGGAAAAAGATGGTTAAAGAAGCCCAAAGAGAAAAGAGAAAAAACAAAGTCCCAAAGCATGTGAAGAAGCGGAGAGAGAAGACTGCGAAAATGAAGAAGGGCAAATAAGATCAACTTTGGCTTGGGAAAAGGACTGATTTGTTTCTAGTTAATGAGTCACTTTCTTTTATAATTAAAAATCCTTTATTTACGTCATACAGTACTAACTGTGAGGGTGGTCTCAGTGGCAGTGTGGTGTGATTATTTGACCAGACTTTATGCTGTGGCTCTAGCAACAGGAAGGAACAAATTCAACGCATTTGAGCTTTTAAAAATCCTTCTCAAGATTCAGCTTGTTGTTAAACTCGCATTGATTTGTTTGTGGCATCTTCGTCTCCTGTCTTACACTGTGTGTGTGCTGGTTCATTTTGTTCCAGAGCGTTGATTTGATTCAAACAGATTCTTGGAGGAGGGGGGAACAACAAAGATGGGAAAACTACTTCAAGTAAAGGCCTGTGCTTCTGTGCTGTGAAGGCAGCAACTTAAGCTAGCTGTCTTCTGCAGGCTGTTGCAGCTATCTGCAGGTAACCTTGCTGCCTCTATGCTTTCATCACCTTTTGATGTTATCTTGCTGAAAGCTGAATTTCATGATTTGGGATGCAACTTTTCTCACTGCCCTGTTCCCTTTTGAAGCAACCAGACAGGCATGCCTAAACAGACTAAAGCTGTGATATTTCTGTGTGTGTTGACCCCAGCATGGGGCAGTGTTGCTCTTAAGGAAAGTAGGACACACCTTTTTGTAGGCTGGCCAAATGAATATTGGACATCAAGATTGCATTTGTTCAAATTCAGGGTGGAAAAGCTGTCGTGGGAGCTGTTTGTGGTGTGCCTCAGCACTACCAGTCCATGTGCTAAGGTGCATATAGGGTGGAGCTGGCAGAGTTTGAAGAGTCCTTTGTGTTGGAGCAAAGGTGCCGTATTCAAAACATCCCACCTCTTCTCATGGCAGCAACTTGGGCCGCTGAGGCTGACAGAAGCCTTGAGAGAGGTGTCGTCCTTGTTCATCAGTCACCTTTCCCTGCTGTCAACAGTTTCAGGACTCCCTGTGCCAACACAGACAAGGGCTCTGAGTTCAGTTAAAAAAAAAAATCTTTTTTTTTTGTTTTCCCATTTTAGGGGTGGAGTTGATGCCCTGGGGATTACACTTATGGGACACACGTTGTTTGATGATAGAAGAAGGCTGTTATCCATCAGCAGGCATCAAGCAATGATGGGTTGGCCAGAGGCAGGGTGAAGCTTCCTTCTCTATTCTTTCCCTTCCGCACCCATAAGAGATTGTGGGATGGTCACAGGCAAAGACTGAGATGTTGGCCAATTGCACACATGGTTGCTCCACTAAGGAGCACATTTCCTCAAAGAAATGTGGGCTGCTTGCACTTCTCAGCTTGACCTCTACAACCCCTTCTGTTCCTTTGGTTAGAATTGTGGTCAGTGCTTCCAGACACCTCCCTCCTTTTCTCCCTGTCCCCACAGGGACTGATAGACTGTTACATACATGTTTATGTAAGTGAAAATGGGATTGCTGGAACATGTTGGGAAGCAAGACTGGTTTTGCCTCAGCAAGTAGGGATGTTTGTTGGGAGCCCATGGAAAAACACATGCAGTTTGGAAAATGACATTACATAGGGTGCAAAGAAGGTGACTGCCTCTAACTTGGTAGTGAAGGAAGGGAGGGGCATAAGACCTATGTTCTGAGATGAGCAAGTACTGTTGATGGCAAAATTAGTCCTACTAGCTGCATTAATGTATTTTCTGCTTTTGCTTTCCATCATGGGAATTGTGTAGTAACTATCAGGCAAGTTGGCTGTCATTATATCTGCAGTTAATATGGTTGGTGGTTGTCTTGAATGCAAAAAGTCTTGTGCACTTTGCCATTGGATCACATTGTATCAGTCACTCTTCTCACAAACTAACAGCTCTTTGGTATATCAGTGATAACATCCATGTTTCATGAAAGTGATGCACTGGGAAGTGAGGGGGGGAGACTGGAGGTGTTAGCAGGGAGTTGTGTCCCTTCTGTTGCTTTCTTCTAGCACAGAGTTGTGCACTGGGCAAACCTCAGTGTGTTTTGTGAAATGGGCCAAGGCTGAGTGAATCTCTGACAAACTGCTCTAAGTTCAAGTAGGCCACTAGTGGGCTTCTCTGCTAGAAAATTGGTTCGTGGCTGGCTGTGAGGTTGGGGTTGCCAGATGCAGAGGCAGCCCCATTTTCTTTGGGAACTCTGAAGATGAGGATAAATACTGGATCTTGGTGTTGCGCCTGGAAGCTACTGAGCCAGGGTGTGTGTGCCACTGAGGGCTTTTGCCTTCCTTACCTGAGGAAGCACTTCAGAAAATGGAGGCTGCTGTGATCAGGGCTTGAGGGAAGAACTGTCCCAGCTCACATAGCCTTGTCTCCCCTCCAGGCTGCGTTGCAAAGCCTGATCAAGTTTGCCCAGCTCTAGCCATCTGGTAGTGTGAAGGTGAGCCTGAATCAGCTGTTTAGGAGCATTGCTTGCAGCTGTGTGCAGCAGGACTACCTGAGAAGGCTATGCAAAGCTGACTTTCTGCCTCAGGTGCTTTTCTCTAGGTATGTAGTCTAGGTATTTGCAAAGCATCTGTGGAGGAGCATGCACAGATGAGGAGCACAGAAGAGCCTGTGTTTTGCAAGTGCAGGTGACCTGAGGATAACTTGCAGCTGGGAATGCATTTGTTGAGGTGGGCTGTGAGAGCAGTTCATGTGCCCTGGCTACTGCAGGCTTGAGGTGTGGAGAAGTCCACAGGCACTGGGTGGGCCAGAAGCACTTTGGGCAAGGGCCATGAGGTGAGCCTCCTTTCTGGTGAACTCTGTAGCAGGAAATAGGCTATTAAAGATACATCAGGGACACACAACTACCTAATGACGTTAGTCTAGTGGTAGGTGGAGTAGATGAGAAGGACTGGCATTTGTTTGTATCCTGTACTAAAGAAAAAACTGAATATCCTATGCTAGTTTGAACTTGAAAGCTATGTTGTATGGACATCAGTGTATGATTAGGTAGGGTGTTTTTTTCCTGAATAATAGGATCTGAAGAAGCCTGCTTGCTTTGCATTTGCCGTAGCAACATGTTTATTGCATACTCTGTCACTGTTATCTCTGCAGGTGGAGTATTGCTAGGGTAGGAATGCCAGTACCTCCTATAAGAACTGGGTCACAAGCAGCTAAGGTAATGCTGCTGCTTCACGCTTCCTCTTTTTCTTCCTCTCTCTTATGGAAGTTACTGATAGGGCTCTGGGATCTCCTGTGGGCTGTGGGAAGTGTAACACCCCTGTGGAGCAACATGAGTGAACAAACTGTGTAGAGGTTGGCCATGGGTAACTGGTGGGCTGTGGCTGCTGCAGATGGCTGAGATGGGTTACAGCAGTGCTGAGGCTGATGTGATAACTATCCCTTAGGCGGAGAGAATTCCTTTCTGTTGACCGCAGATCTGCTGCTCCTTCATTCTATTGCTCACAGGGTATTCAAGTGTCAAAATGTAGCATCCAGATGAGTTTCTTTCCCCCTTCTGAATGAAAACATCTGCACTGCTGTCATGACTTGAACTCAAGCTGCTTTGTCACCGTGGCTTTGGGAATGTTTCTGTAAGCAGGACTGTATATTGTCTGACACGTTTGTCAAAGTATGCATGTTTTGTTATCTGCGTTCTCTGAAAATGGATGGGAACGCAGTTCTGTCAGGCAATTGGTATGAGTTTTTACAGCTGCAAAAGAAACAGCACGGCTAACTGAACTGCTTTAACACTCTTTTTCTGGCTAAAATATAAAGACTAAATATCTGAAGTACCACCTATGAAATCAAAACACCCATATGTGAAATGTTCAATTGGAGAATCAGGTGGGGTATTTAAGAGAGGACTATAGCCTTGTCTGGGGGAAGTGTAGTGAAGAAGACCACATCCTAAGGCTGGTATTTAGTTCTGCTCAGAACATGAACCCACAGGGCATGCTTCTGTCCCCTGGTCTGGTGCTGTGTGTGCCATCAGCTGCTATGTGAGGAGGTTGTGGTAGCATCACCCATGGTCATCCCAAGACTGGTGGCTCAACCCTGTGGTGTCAGTGCAGGGAGGAGTACAGTCAAGGCGAGAGCTGAGGCTCCTCACTTTGGACAGGAGAAAGTGAAAAAGCAGGATGAGAGGCTTAAGGAATTATGGAAACAGCAAAGAAAGTTAATGCTCAAGTGTTGTTCACCAAACCCTGCGATAGTAGTTAAAGGAAACTTAACCTGGTGGAGGGTTGGTTTGAAGCAGATACAAGTACTTTTCTTGGGACAGCCCACAACAATGCAGATAAGCAGAGGTTGAAAGTCAGCTCTCTAATGCTGAGGTGCTGTTAACTTTTGTAACTTTGTATTTTTAGACAGACTGAACATGTGGAAGGCGTCAGATTCTCAGATATGGGTCAGATACTTGGAGAGATGCATTTCTTGGAATTCACAGCCAAAAGATCTAGTGATATTTGAAAGCATACGTCATACAGTGGAAGTATTTACAACTGCTATCAAAGACAAAAGCATAAAAAAGCAATTTAGTCCTATTGTAGGACATTCCAGAGCAGTTCTCAACTGCCAGTCACTGAGCCTCAGTGGGAGGAGAGGAGTAAGAAGGAAGTACTCTCAGCAGGTATCTTCTGTTCCATAAAAGTTGATCTGTGAGGTGTCTGAGTTTTCTTTTTTCCCCACCCTGTCCATCTTCCTAAAATGTAGTATGGCCAATTTGCCTTCTGAACTGTTGTGAAACTGCATCTCGGTTCTGAGGACTTCAGCAGTCCTTCAGTCTGACACTGATTTGTTGCTTCTCCATGCTGTGGGTCTTACAGTACATAGCAATAGAAGGACTGGGAGGTGGAGGTTGTGGATTTAGTTTCCCCATTGTGAGGCCAGTAGAACCAGCTTTGCATGTAAGGAGCGGCTGCTTAGAGAGTTTTCATTTCATTTCTGTGCTAAAATATTTTGGTTGAACAATACAAAACTAGCTGTGGCAGGCCTCTATAGCTCAGGCACGCTTGCTTTTGGCATGTGTGCCCAGACAAGAGTCGCAGTGATGGTCCCTCAAGATATGAAAGAAGTGAGGCTGCTGTTTTCTGAGGATGAATGTGCCGTGCAGCTTTTGTTCATGGCCGGTTGAGATGCTACTGATGTATGGCTGCAGAGGTGGAAGAGGATTCCATGAACATTCCATTACTTTATTTAGCAATGGGGTGTTGTAGAGGTGAGGCACCAATACAGAACATGTTGAGTGCTTCTCAGCGTATCCTTAAACCTATGGGATGCTCCCTGGGGATGCTTGCAGAATGATGAGAGACTGCAGTGGTTGGAAAGTGTATGGAGGTCTCCCATCTGTTTACATGGAATTGCCTGTCTCCATTTCTTTACAGAGAAAGTATTTGGACACTCAGTGAGCGAGGAAGCACTCAGAAATGGTTTTGCCACTTTTAATGAAATTTAAGATGCTGTTTGGTAAAGAGCATCACAGATAATTTAAATACAGTAAGCTGAACGAGAACTCATTTCTGAGTTTCTATGGCATTGCTGTAAAAAATAAATACATAAATCTGTAACTTGCTGTTTTTACAGTTGTACTTTTTGTCCTTCTACAACACCGATAGACTTTGGAAGCAGTACCACTGAGCTCTACCTTAGTGTCTCATGGCTTTCCTTGTCTTGATGTGATCTTACTTCCTTGTGCTCATTTTCATATCCTCTAGAGGGAGAAGTAAGCTGCTCAGGCTGTTGGAAGGTCTGCTGAGAATGAATTAGTGTATGAACAGTGCTAATGATGTAAATTTTGATGGATCTGTATGTGGCACCTAAGCCTTTTAGTTCTCCTGAATTTGTAGTTCTTGGGCAAAGTGTTATGCTCTCAAAGGTGATAGAGTCATAATTTGTTCTGGGCAGGGCTCCAGCTGGTGTTAATGATGGATTTAGGATGAGACTGCAGGCAGCACATGACAAACTCCAAGGAGACATTTTTCCTGTGTGTATGAAGACCTGTGGTGAGAATCTAAAACATCCTAAGGATGCCACTCTGCAGCTGTTCAAACTTGTGGGCATAAACTACAATC